TCTTATAAAAATTTTAATATTGTTTCCAGTTATTATTTGATCTTTTTATTGTGTAAATTAGATAAATTTTTGTTAAAATATAAGAAAATTATATATAAACCAATATTGTCAATTTTTTTATGCAATCATTTTGATAAAAATAAATTTCTTCAACAACTTAAGATAATGGCTACATGAATACAAAAAATTTTTTATTTCAAAATGTTGTTTTATTTTTATTTATTACAGCACATTAGGTTAAATAGTATTATTTTAACACCACTACGATAATCATAAAAAACAATTAGAGAAATATATAATTATCATTTGTTTATTTTTTAATGACACCAAATTATATTTATTGTTATTATGTTTACTATAACACCTTAATTTGAAAAATTATAAAAACATGTATTTTTATGTGTAAGCAAGTAATATCAAATTGTATTCATTAATAATTGCATTATACTCGATATATTACAACATATTAAATATTTACCCATTGACTCGGTTTTCACACATGTGAATATATGAATTAAAAAATTTATGTTTTTTAATAATTGAATGTAACATAAAATTAAACTTTGAATTTAATTAATAATAAGTAAACTTGACTATTCTTATTATTTTTTAACAATTAAAAAAATAATAAAATAAACTAAAAATATATATAAATGACTGAAACGAAAATAATGCTTTTGGGGTGTAATAACGTCGGGAAAACTTCGATAGTGACTCGTTTTGTTTGTAACAAGTTTACAAAAGTTTACGAACCCACACTAGACGAACCAGAGATAATATCTGTCACCGTCGATGGTGATATTTATTTATTGGAATTACTCGATGTTGCTAATTGCGAAGAGCTGAGTGCATATAGAGAACATAACATTCACATAAGCGATGGGTTTATTGTTGTTTACTCCATAACAAATTCATCCTCTTTTTATCAAGTTACGCATTTTATCGAAACAATCTACAGAATTTTCGATAAAGAATCGAGTGAACGCATTCCAATGGTATTATGTGGTAATAAATGTGATATGGAATGTAATAGAATTGTCACTACAAAAGAAGGAAGAAAACTTGCTGAAGAATTAAATATTTTATTTTATGAAGTATCTGCTAAAAATAATATTAACATTAAAGAAGTTGTGAATGACCTTTTGAGAGAAGTAAATAAACACAAAAATGATGTTAATACAACCAAGTTACATTGTGATACCAATAAATATAAAAATAAGTCATGTTTTGTGTGTTAAATTAAAAAAAATAAAGTAAATAATATAATATTTTATATACTTTTTAAACGTAAAAGTTCTATAACATTTAAAACTAACATGAGTGGTCGTTTCAAATGTGAGCAATTTAACAAATCAACAATGTATTTAATTATCATTTAAATTGAATTTCAGTCATTTTTGTTATATATTTGACTTTTTAACTATTTCAAAATAAGTTATCAAGCGAACTGTATTTTGTATTAAATAAAAATATTTTTAAGTTTTTAATAAGTAATAATTGTTTATTAAATTTGTTATTCTCATAATTATAAAATTACAATATATAAATCACAGAGTTGTTACAGTAAATTAAAAGTGTTTGGAACAAAAAGAAATTATTATTATAGTAGGTATAAATTTTGGTCGATATTTTAAAATTCATAAATGTAATTAATAAAATTTCTTTTTGAATCAAAGGTATATCGTAATTCACTCATTTTATTTGTAATGACGGATGTGGGACGAAAGTTTCGACAATTACCAAGCTTTCAACTTACTGCTATTTGAATACTTCAAAAAATTAACAAATGGATAAAATAATATGTATCATTTTAAATAAAAAATCTATAACCATTTTATAAAAAGGCGTTAGTTTATGAATAAAACAATGTGTTTAATTTGGTTTTTCATTGAATTTTTAATTTAATATTTATCGATTACACAATTAATGTGTTTAAACATGAACATGTATACAATTAATTCGTGTGTCAAATGGTCTTGCATTTATACTTTTGTTATTATTAGTATCTACCAATGTGTAGTGTCTTTAAGATAAAATGTATCTTATACAATAAGATACAATCATTTCAGAACAATTTGAATCACAAAACAGAGTAACTATTTTTTATAATAAAATAATAGTTATTAACTACAAAACAAAAATAATAAATCGTGATTGGATTTATATCACTAAATCACAGTTTTTAGTGTTTTTATTTTAATCACTAACATATTTAATAATTTTAAAAATGTTAGTGAAAACATATTTAAATAAACCAGGATTCATTAAAAAGTTATGTAATCCATACTTGTATTTTGGGTTTTTATATAAATTATCACTGAGATAATGTTCTATTATTAATTAATAAAATAAAAAAAACACTACATATTAATGGTGTTTTCTTTCCCACAAAACTGGATTTCAATTTTCCTTCCTAATGAATCACATATTCTTTTTGCAACAACTCTTGCTTGGTATATTTTGATATCTTTTTCGGTGTAAAATTTGACTTTTTTGAGGGACTCCCACCCCTTGAATTCAAATAAAGAATCCAACCCCGTATTTTTAAAAGAAATTATTTCCAAATCGAAATTACCTTTAATAGCACAATAATTACAATTGGGTGCATTTTGAAAATTCAAACTTGCTTTATTTTTAGATGTATTTATCAACACCAAATGAACTTTGTTGTGTGTATTTATAACAATTCGTTTTATATTGCACTCGATGTGAATCGCGGTCAAATTGTCACAGCCGTTACACCCGACAAAGTCAATTGGATTGTCAGATTTCGACATGACATTAAGAAATTTTAAATTGCCAAAATATTGATTTTTCACTGGACAAACAAGTGACACGGCGACTGATAATTCAAAAATGAGTTTGATGTTAATGACACTCGTGTATTTTGAGAAATCGAATACTTTTGCAATATTATTTTCTATTTTAAGTGAAATTTCGGTTGGAGGTTTTGTGGGTGAAGCTCTGATATATTTTAATTTATACATTATCTCGGGGTTTAAAGTGCTTTGGTCAAGTTTTTTGATAGTAATTGGACTTATATTGAATGCTCTTTTCACAATGTCTTCAAACACTGTATTATATTTTACAACTTCTTCTGTATTTACTTCAGATTGAATTATTTTAAATCTTGCATTAGAACAGTCTGTGATGTCCACGTGGTCATTATTATAATATAGCATTCCAATAAACACGTCTGGGTTTGTTGCTGCAAATTGTGAAATGTTCAACACCAAATTTTTGTCTGTGCAATTTTTCACTATGAATTTTCGAAGTTTAAAAAACTTCACGTTTGGAACAGTTAAATCGTCGTCAGTATTTATAACAACTTTTCTTACGTTTCTGCAATTTTGAGAAATAAAAACAAAACTTTCAATGTTGACAAATATGGTTATAATTTTATCTAAAATGAATTGAGAATATGCTTCTGGAAGTGTTAGAGTGTCTGAGCAGTCGAGCCAGGTGATTTGGTTTAACTGACTTTTTGTTAAAGATCGCTGTATTGTTTCCAAGTTGCCTGTTAAAGTGTTGAGATGTGGAAAAAAATTAAAAAGAAAATCGTAACTATAATATATAGAACGAGGATTCACCTTTAAACATCGAATGGCGTCTTGTGCCTTTTTATTAATTCGACGAAAATAACGAAGTGTCGTTTCTTGTTGAATGTAAAGCAAGATGTTAGTAAGATAAACCATTTCTAAATGAGTATTCATGGTATAAATTTGATAGTTTTTATTTTTTTAATATTTTAAAAAGTCAAGATTCATATTTACAAAAAATACTTGTTTTGCCACGTTTTAAATAACATTTTTTTATTTAATAAATTTTTGAATTATGAATAACAAACACAAATAAACAAAAAAAATAATTAATAAAAAGAATGCACTTACTTCAAAGTGGTAATTTTATGTTAACCAGCCAACAGTATTTTTTGGGGGGGGGCAAAATGCACTAGACGCAAAAAATTGCGTTTTTTTTTCTATAAATATAAAAATAAGAAAAAAATTCTAAAAATAAATTACATATAAATATTCTATTGTAAAAAAAGGCATCTTATAGAAGTTTTCACATAGTCGACACAACAGCAAGAGATCAGCCCCCAGGTTTTTACGATCATTATAATGCGATTTTAACTTTAGGTTTGAAATATAATCGACCAAAATTCCCCAGACACTAGTAATGAGTAGAAATTCTTTATTATAACAGTGACAACATCGGAGTAGCAAAACAAACTTATTACAATTATATTTTTCTTTGATTTGTGCGGCAGAATGGGTTTGCAAAAGAATTGTTAGTGATTTTATTTAAAAAAACACAAAAAATATAAAATTGATTTTACACGTTTTATCTAAACAAAAACAATAACCAAAATTTCAATTATATTTTTTTAAACGCGTTTTTTGCGTCTCGTTTATTTTAATCGGTTAACCAATTAAAAATTTCAAGTTCTTTTGACGCCAGATTAATTGTATGACAAAAACATCTATTTTTATTACAAATAAAAAATCTGTTTTCATAGTTAACTTCTTTCATAATGAGAGCATAACATCCATTGTAACAACCATACACATTTGAACCTGCATCACTCGTACAAATACTTATTTTATTGCGGTCCACACCAAACTCTAGAAAATACTTAAATATTCTGTCTTTAATAGATATTCCAGTCGAAAGTGTGGCTTCCCAAAACTTTAAAAGAATATCTTTGACTTCAGCGTTTAGCATTACCAATATCACCCACATTACACATTTACTAACTTTGTGTATTTAGCATTCATCACATTATATTGCTACAAAAACACAATTTTGATCATAACTTTGATTTGTTCTTTTTAATTGTATATTCTTCATCACTTCTACGTCTCATTGTTGTTTAGACAAACAAAAACATTTATAAAAATGTAAACCATAGACTTTTATTTCTTCGATGACACCACTTATAATATCATTGATAACTTCTGTTTTTGGAATAAAGTCATTTTATATTATTTTTTTCGAAATAAACAACTCACACTCCCTAACATGTCGTAACAAATTTGTGTCTCTCTCATCTTCTTGAACTTCTTTTTCTTGCACTTTTTTTAATAAAAATAAAATTTTTACTGTAGTTATAAACGTTTAAAATCAAGTCTATAGTTTTTTGGTGTATTCAATGGAGTGGATATGTTGATTCATTCCACTTCTGGTTAATATTTTCCCACATATTTTGCAATAAAAACGGTTTATGTATATCCTCTCAAACAATACAAGTTGTGTGTATTCATCTTTCGACATTGTTTTTAATTTTTTAATAAATATTTATAAATAAACTCGGTGTTTTCGACGTTATTAAATTATATTTATTTTTCATATTCCCACAAAGCAAAAAATAGTTAAACTAAAATATAAAAAACAAAATAATTATTTTTGTTTTTTTTGTTTTGCCACGTCACGAAAATGCCACGCAGTGCACAAATCGTTACGGTTTAAATTACCCTGTTAGACTAAATAAGGAATATCTCCGTCTTAACTTTTTTGATCCGAAATCAATTATTTAAAAACTTGAATATTTTATGTTTAATTAATTATGGAATATTTATCAGTTTGTTTTTTTGGATTTGACTATACATTTGTTTATAATTGTACAAGACATGATTATAACAAGTCGCGTCTCGTGTTAAACAGAAAGAAGTGACATCGAAGAACAAGTTTCGAAAACGAGTTTGTGGAGTTGGCTTACAATCATTATCCTAAAATGTTGTTTCTAAAAATATGATATTTTTTATGTTTAAAACCAAATAATTAACGACTTGTAGGGTTTTAGAAAACTATATGGGTTTAGTACTGACTTGTATAAATTTTAATAAAGTCATTCTTAAAATCGTCCAACTTTGATGTCTCCGTGCAACTTTTTTATAGTATAATAATTATAATAAAACAATGATATTTTTTTATAACAACAAAACAAAAAAAACAATCAATTTTTTTATAAATTATTACTATAATTTAATCCTATAACTAAACTATAATTAAAGTTGCACAATTTTTTCAATTAGTTTTTTGGGTTGCACTTCAACAGTTTCTTGTTTACCCATATTTTGCAGAAAAAGAGTCTTTGAATCACACAAATTGGCTTGTCTTGTTATTTTTGTTTTTAAACTAAATATTCAACATCTGCGTTATCCACTATCGATATACAACGCCGTTTTATTCGTTTTGTATGACAATTAAAATCTTTTGTTTTTAATGCTTTTTATTTAAACAAGCAATTATACTTATAATTTACTAATCAGTACTAAACCCATATAGTTTTCTAAAACCCCTCAAGTCTTCAATTGATTGGTCAAAATTTTAAAAAATATATTTAGAAACAACATTTTTGGATAACGATTGTAAGCCAACTCCACAAACTCGTTTTCGAAACTTGTTTTCCAATGTCACTTCTTTCTGTTTAACACAAGACCCGACTTTATGATGATGTATTCCTTTTCCAGCTATTAAATTAGCAATACCCCCTTATTAATTTATAATAAAATTATTGTTTATTGTTTATTAAGGGGTATTGTTAATTCAATGGCTGGAAAATGAATATTGAACAATTATAAACAAATGTATTTTTTATAGTTTTTAATTTAATACAGTATGTGAGAATAGTATGTGAGAATGAGAAAACCCTGTGGATTCAACAAAAGTTACAATTGTGTAACTTTTATGTAATAAAATTATTATTTTTTTATTTCAAAAAATTCAAAAAGATCAAATAAAAAAATCACTTATTTACAGTTCATTTTCTCTTTCAATTTGTTTAAAAACCTACAAAGCAGCTTTCAGAGTGTGAACAGCCAGCCAGCACTTACCAACTAATTGACTCAGACCTCACGCTAAAAAATTCCAGGAATACTGGACAAATCAGCCATAGCAGCTAGACGATTCAAAGCAGGCAACGTTTAATTTAAGAGTTTTTGCGAGCAAGTTCTACAAGTTAATATCTCAATAACGAAAGAAAGTTTAACAAACGAATATTTTCTATTGGAAGGACTTATGATAGTTCAGACATATGTTGATTCAAACAGTGACCATTCTGACCTGTGATAGGAAACAGTAATGTGAACTCGGTGATACAACTGATTAAAAAGATAAAAATCAATCGATTAAATTCTCAACCCCATTTTTAGTTCTTTTTGAGATTTTTTTGGTCGTCTTTTTCTTCACAACTTTACATACAACATCCCGTTCTTTTCTTTTTAACGGCTTGCAAACAGACTGACAAAAATAACCCTCAAAACACATTGGAAGCTTTCGAACTGCAGATATTTTCAAGCTTTTGGTTTTGACGCATTCAATTGAGTATAACTGTGGTATACTTAACAGTTTCGGTATTTCTGCTGTTACTCTGCGTGACACTCCAATATCCACATACGCAACCCTCATACCACCATCAACAATTCTGAAATCAATACCAACTTGCCTAAAAGCCTGCGTGCACACATCCGGAGTGGTTGTTTGGAAATAAGACTTCAGAATTGAGTTGAGGTATTTGGCAAACTTTTTTTCTAAGTCCTCTCCATCACCGAATTCAACAATTTTAGTTTCATTTGGTATTTCGTTGCGATCTTCTGATTGGTTGTCATCCACCATCCTTTCGTTGACAGTCGTACCAGCCTTCTTTTTAAATGGTGATATCGCTTCTTGTGGATTTGCCAGCACTTCCTGAAACATTTCCTTAAACTGTTGAGGTATTATTGGTTCTTCAATGGGATCTTGGCTTCCAATCACATCATCCGACTCTTCTTTTTCTTCAACGTCTTCACTTTCTGTCGTTGTTGTTTCTTCCTCGCCAACTCTATCTTTAATTTTTATGACATCTCTGAACTTAGCATACAACGAATTCAGTCTTCTTTTTTGGGCTGCAAACACCCCAACATCTAATGGTTGTGTTAAATGTGAGGTGTGAGGCACCAAACATACGATTTCACAGTTCACGTTGATGATTTTCTCGTTGACTTGGACATTCGACTTGAGCAACAACCTCACATCTTCGATTGAGTGGCACGTGCACTGATCAAATATCAGAACGGCCTTATCAATATAACCAGTCTTAATTCTCATGTCGACAATATAAGGTACTACAACGTCGTTGATGTATTGTATAAATAAGTCACTGTTGATAAAACCATTTTTGCTATAACTGACGATGTTTCCCGTTTCCATCCAACCCAATTTCAAGAATTCAACTGCAACTCTTTTGTATTTTGTTACAATCATACAAGGAAGAGGTTGTGAGGGGGTAATAGTGCAAACGACAGTGGATCGAGCAATGTCACGTTCGACTCCATATTTCATTTTACTGTCTGTGGAAAAACCAGCAGTGAATACTCCCTTCACCATTTGCCTGTCTGGCCATGGCTGATACCCTGACTCATCCAAATTCAAAATAAATGGTGATGGGATGCCATTTAAAAAAAGTGGCAGTGCAATGTAATACTTCAACACGGCATCTTCGTCGTAGGTCAATCGAGATTGGTCTTCAGCAAACACAGTAACAATCGAAAAGTTCCAATTTTTATGTATTTTATCATAAATAATGTGGTTTGACACATCAACGTTGAAGGTTTTTATTATAAACAACCTCAAATAAGTTATGCTGATAGCTTTGCATTTTCCTGGAAACTTTTCATTATCAAGAATCAAATTCTTGACAATTTCCCATTGTGTTTCAGTTAAAAGTGACGGTCTTCCGTTATCTTTTTTTCCAAACAATGCCGTCTCCATACCTCTTCGTTTGTTGATATTAAACTGACTTGAAGTTAAAGCAAAGACTCTACATAGTTTACTCTCGGTCACCTTTTCCGTATTAATTCCATTGAAAATTTCTCTTTCAATATTCATCAAATACACCTGAACATTCAGGGGCAATTCACAAAAGTTGCAATGTTTGCTGAATGTTCTTTGGGCTATTTCTTTCACTGGACCAGGACAATACTTTAAATTCTTTTCAAGTGTTGTATGGTCTAAGCCACTAAAAGCAACATTCCTGGAGCTCATAATTATATTATTTAGATTGTTTTTTTTAAAGAAAAACATTTTTATTTAAAAAAAGAAAAACAAATATGTAATTTTTGTTGAATCCACAGGGTTTTCTCATTCTCACATACTTTTCTCACATACTGTATTTTGTTTTAGTTATACAACACTTCTTATTGTCCAATTTTTATATAAATTATTCGTGATGACGTCGTAATTAATTTACTTTGAAGCTTGAGGGGTTTAAGACAATTTGATGGGGTTTTACCATACCTGTAATTAAAAATCTATGTTGATTTATAACCTGATTCAACCTTTTGTATTTGTATTTGTTATTGTGATTGTAATTGTAATTGTTCAAAAAAAGTTACACCTTTGTTGTCAATAAAAAACAAAAAATAAAGTTGCAAATAATTCAGAATGACTTTATTCTATAAAAATATATAAAAACAATTATTAAAAAATAAAACCATTTTAAGAGAAACAGATAATTATTTGATAAAATATTTCTGAAAAATTAGAGGAAGAAATCTTAATCTATATTTATATTATGTTTTATATAATATAATAATGTATTATATTATATTACACTTTGAAAATGAAGTTTTATTTTAATTAATTATTCAGTTTCTTGAATATACAACCCATTTGTATGTTTTGATTTTGATTGGTTAATTTACCAAGTAATAATCAAAACCCACTAATACAAAAACATATAAATAAAATGTGGGGTTTTGTATTTATGTACTCTTACTTTGACTATACTGATTTTGCAAAACTGAATTGTTAAATTAGTTTAAATTGTTTTTTTTTAAACGCTTGATAATATGACAACGCCCCAAAATGCAATAACCGTTAAAACAACATAACTGATAGGAATCAAATTGGTGGTATTATGATGCTCATTAAATTTATACTTTCAAAACAATAATTATCAATCGATGTGATACTTGCTGATATTTCTACACTAATTAAATTAACACATTTATTGAAAAATTTATTACCAATAATTGTGACATTAAATAAGATAACAATATGGTGAAGACTGGCACAATTGAAAAACACACGTTGTTTATTTTTCTTGATAAAGGCAAATTAATGCAACTTAATTTTACACATTTATTAAAACAACAATTTTCAAAAGAAGTGACATTTAATGGTACATCTATATTACTTATATCATTACATCGATTGTAACAATCATCATCAAAATCGGTATAGCAGTGTCATATTTTATTCTATCATCATGGCGTCAGTCATGTTTTTAAAAATTATTGAACGATCACTGTTTTTGTCGACTGTGTCATAATCGATATTTACACAACTTTTTTTTTGAAAAACATTTTTTAAAACAAATTTATTTTAGTTTACTTTATTATAAAATTCATCAATACTATTCATTGTTCTGATTAAAAATCCGTTGCCAAAAATAACGGTGTTTTTTTTCACAAGTGAAAAGTTTCGATAAAGAGCACCAGAAAAATGTCGTACAGCAGAAAATAGTTTAACACATTTTAAGGTATTTTTCTGTATAAAGTCATGTTTTTATTTTTTTCAAAACCTAATTTTTTCCTGATTGTTTAGTCAAATTTTATATGTGAAAAAATATTCCCGATTTTTTAGTTTGTTTGATACTGAAAACTCAAGTGTATGACTGTTTTCTGTTAGTCTTTATTTGGAAAATATTTAATTGTTAACATTGTTTGTGGAATTGGGTTATAATGAAACTTCTTTGTGTTGCCATTATACCTTTTACGTACAAATTTAAAATTGATAGAGCTGATAATGGTTTTAAAGTACTATGTAACAACCATATTTTGATAAAAGTCGAGTATGGACATTTTGAGATAAAGTTTTTTTCTTAATTTATAAAATTAAAAAACAGATTGTAGATGTGGTTTTAAGGTTTTGATAAATAATTAATAATTTTTATTTTATTATAAAAATAAATTATAAAAGTAACATTTAAACTATTTTTAAAAATAACTAAAGAATTCTTTATTATTATTTAAAAGTATTTTAATAAGTCGAATATTTGTACAACATCTATATCAGACTAAGGTTTTTATAATCACAATCCTAATCACATACGTCACCATTTAATTACTAAAATGTTCATTTTTATTTTAATTTGTTAGTTATAATACAACATTTCTGCAATATTTATATGGTAGTGCTGTTTCAGTTATTCGTTATTATAATATTTTTATTACCTTATAAAAAATAGTAATCGGTTTTTTAAAAAAACATGAATGTGTTAATAAAAACAAAAATTGAATATTAAAAATAGTCAATAGACCATGATAACACTAAAAGAAAATTTGCATTTAAACATGATAACAACATTTATTAATTTTATTGTTTTTCATTCTTTTTATTTAAATAATAGTTTAACAATTATTTCAAGAAATATCTATAAAAATAATATTACCAGAGATACAACCATTATTTTTACAATAAACTTTTCGAACTTTATTTTTATAATACAATATGGTCACTTCATAACATGTTATTTTTTTACAAATGCAAAACTTTTATGGTTATTTTTTAATTTAAATAAACTATTATATAGTTTAATAATATTTAACTAAAGTCCCCAAATTTTATTTTGTTTTTAATATATTAAAATAATTATAATTAACTAATTATTATAAATAATAGTCTTGCATAAGGCAAAGATTGTTATAAAACAAAATGTTCATACTGTAATAAAAAACATGAAAAACCCAAATGTAAATGTATTTCTTGTTTGCAAGAAATCAATCCTTTCAATAAAATTATTTGGAAATGGTTTTTTATTACACATTTTAATCGATTATTATTTTATATATTTCGATTTTTTGTAGAGTACATTTTCAACAGAATGTATTTATTTATAAAAATCATATATATATATACATTTACAAAAAACTTAAAAATATATGATATTGTATGTAATACTGTTGGTTTATATTTCACATGTTAACAGTTTGGAGTGTAAGAACAAAATAGAAAATGATAACATGATGAAAACATTTGCTGGTTGTTCCATTTCAATCAACAGTATTTATTATGGTAATGTCACAAATTCATTACCTCTGACATACATAATTGATAGAACTTCTTGTAAGCTAATTAATGGAAATTTATTTGTTCTAGGCAACACCACTTTACACTTGATAAACAACACAGCTTTGGGTATAACCTTAAATGTCAAACTTTATGGTAACTCAACAACTATATTTGATGATAATTCAACAATTGTTGCAAGTGTGAATTTGTACATATATGATGATGCGACAGTTATAATGAAAGGAGATTCATATTTATATACAAAGAATATTTTTACAAATCAAGGAATGGCAAATTCAAAATTGACGATGGAAGAAAACGCAACACTATTTTCAATTCAAACTATTATTTTTTTCAGACTATTCCGATATTATTTTAAGTGGACATTGAAACACAATTGCATAACAAAAACTTGAAGTGTTATTAAATGCAACTTTAGTTATGAACGAATATGCAAATATAGATATATGCGAAAACATTGAATTGTCTGATTACACAAAAACAATAATGAATGAAAATTCACATATAAATTGTGGTGGTGTTTTTGATATGAATGAAACATCTATTTTTATTTTAAAGGATAATTCTTCTGTGGTTGTAGAAAATAACACGTATATTAAAAACTATTCATATTTCGGCGTTACTGATGATGCTATTTTTGAATCGAAAATGGGTATTTTATTTGAAAACAATTCGACATGTGTATTGAATGGAAATGCTCAAATTATTTGAGAAAGTGATCTCCAAATGAGTGGTAATTCTGTTTTGCATATCAATGGGAATGCACACCTCGACGTCCAAAATGAAATTTTAATCACTGAAAATGCAATTGTTTATATAAATGAAACTGCCACTATAAACACTAATCATTTAAATGTCACAGCAAAAGGAAGACTTATATTAAAAAACGACAACATAAATGAAACAACAACATTTGCTAGTATCAAAAGTCAAAATATAAAGTGTACCTATTCGACAATAAATGTCCAAAGTCACTTTTATTTTAATATATCAAACGGTGTAAATTTAGTTCTTTGTACAATAAATACTTATACTAAAACAATAAGAGATATTCCTTTGTTCATTGCAAAAAAAATTAATAGTATGATAGACTTCAATACCGTTCCCTCAAATATCGATTTGATATACACTGAAATTCCATATACCATTTCAACACCAACAAAAGTTACTATGTTATTAAATTCCAGGTTAATTAGATATGGCAATTCAAAGAAAATATTCTGTCATATGTCCGAGTCGGATTAATTTCGCCTTTTTATTTTTTGCCTCATTTTCTTCAATAAAAATTCAACAAAATGTAAAAACATTTGAAATATAAAAATATAGAAAAATAAAATTTACAAAAAAATAAAAAACTATATATATTAATATCTTTTCACAATTAATACAATAAATACACAAAACTTATTTATTTTTTGTATTTTTTCATTGCACGTTTTAATTTTTCCGCTTTCTCATAATCACTTACTCTTTTTTTCTTTGGTTTTTTTTCGTTGTTAATTTTTTCTTTTTCTTTTTTGGATATTTCTTTTTGTTTTTTATTAACCATCAATCTTTTACTGTTTATAATTAGTTGAGCATTTTCATTTTCTTCCATTTCCATATCAACATTTTGGTTTTCTTTATCGACTTCAATTTTTTCCTCAAATAAAACACAATTGGTTTCATCTGAATAAACACTTTCATTATTATCTGTTTCATTTAAATACCCCAAAATTTGCATGTTTGTTATCAAATCATTTTCTTGTTCAACTTCAATTTTTGCACATTCAGAGTCCAAATCAAAGTATATTTGCATTTCTTT